CCACACATCATGTGACACCTGCCACCTGCCACACATCATGTGACACCTGCCACCTGCCACACATCATGTGACACCCGCCACCTGCCATACATCATGTGACACCTGCTACCCGCCACACATCATGTGACACCTGCCACCTGCCACACATCATGTGACACCCGCCACCTGCCACACATCATGTGACACCCGCCACCTGCCACACATCAAGTGACACCTGCTACCTGCCACACATCATGTGACACCTGCTACCTGCCACACATCATGTGACACCTGCTACCTGCCACACATCATGTGACACCCGCTACCTGCCACACATCATGTGACACCCGCCACCTGCCACACATCATGTGACACCTGCCACTTGACATACATCATGTGACACCCGCCACCTGCCACACATCATGTGACACTTGCCACCTGCCACACATCATGTGACACCCGCCACCTGACACACACCACATGACACACATCATGTGACACCCGCCACCTGACACACACCACGTGACACACATCATGTGACACCCGCCACCTGACACACATCATGTGACACCCGCCACCTGACACACACCACATGACACACATCATGTGATACCCGCCACCTTTGTACCTGCCACCTATCTACCTGACACACACCATGTGACACACACCACCTGACACCTATGTACCTGACACACACCACCTGACACCTATGTACCTGAACAGATGGTCCTTGTTTAAATCACACAAGCTGGCGGGCGGGGAAGGAGTAAAAAGATGATGACCACCTGGTTAGCAAGTACTTGGCGTTTTAAACATTTAGTCACACAAGTACTTGGCGTTTTAAACATTTAGTTTTTTAAACATTTAGTCACACAAGTGTTTGGTGTTTTAAACATCTCAAAGTCAGAAAATAATTTTTGTGAAGTCTCCACTTGACTCAATTTCAGACAGAATTGAAACAACCCCCACCCCTCCCCCTAAAAAACCCCCCAAAACCCAACAAAAAACCCAGAGGATATTTGTCTATTGTGTTCAGTTTTTTTTCTTTAAAATTTAAAGTTGCTTTTTTTCTTTGTATAGAAAAACTCTCTATAATGTGATCAAGAGTTCTGATATAAAAAAGAATGATAGTTCAGAGAAAACTGTCCAAGATGGCTACTCGCTGTCGAGGAAAACAGTGGTTGTCTTGGACAGTGGCAGTAAAATCTTCCTCCCATCTCTCCCCCTCCCTTTCCTCCTCCCCTCCCTCCCTCCTCCCTCTCCTCCCCTCACCTCTGAGCGTGCGTCTGCTCGGCCTCGGCCAGGTGCGCCTGCAGTTCCTGTAGCTGCCTCTGCAAGGTCACGTTGTCCTCCTCCCCTCCCTCCCTCCTCCCTCCCTCTCCTCCCCACCTC